ACAATCTTAGGCAGACCCTGACTATACATAGCACAGACCAATCAGGAGACATCACACTTCTCCCCACTCCCCCAACCCCCACCACACACACATTTCCTATAGCTATAAACCTCCTCCCACTGGCATTCTTAGCCCTGCCCACCCACACTGCAGACTGGTAGAAAGGGGAGGAATTGGAGGACTGTAAAAGGATTATCCAATCAGATTCACTCTTCTTTTTGCACAGCTCTGGGCCTACTTCAACTCAAAAAGTATGCCTGAGGCAGGGCCCTGTACTAAATACTGAGGACCAGAGGAGGAGCCACTCACACCCCGCCCCACCCCACCTCTGACTGAGGGAGAGTGTGGCTGCCCACCACTCCAGCAGAAGGCAGACTCTGGTAAGCACCAAGCAGTAATGTATCCTATGTTCTGCTGGTGTAGCGAGGGAGAGCAAGGAAGCCATAGTTCCCACTCCCCCAGAGCAACAAGGATTCTGAGTGCTTCCTGAAAAGCCTGGCTCATCTGTCACTGTATAGCAGACTTTGAACTAGGCCTGGGGGTCAGCTGAGGAGGTATTTCCAAGCTGAAGAAGAGCTTGTAGAAGGAGACACGGTGACACTCAAGCAGTGTATTGGAGGGAGGGACATAGATTGGAAAGTTGGCTGCAGTGAGGAGGTAAGGAGGGAGATAGGAAGTGGAAATGAAGGAGAGTCCAGGGTGAGGAGTCAGATGACAGGGAAACACAGAAGGCAATGTTGGAATGAAGAACATGGAAATGGCTCCCAAGGCCTGACTCATGAGCCATTCAGCCCTGACATAGACATTACGGAGCAAGCTGTGGAACTGCCACCAATTCCCTCCTGTACCAACTCAGACTTCTAAATTCTCCAGCACATGTTTGCATGTGGTGGCTTGTGGAGAGCTCTTTGAGATCTACCCATGCCTTCAGCATGAGTTCCTTTTGAAAGACTCCAGCACTGTGTTCAGAGTTCTGTCACTGCACAGTCAGGGATCAAAACCTACTGTCGTTTGTGCATCTTTGCACAAGCCATTTCCCTCTCTGGGCCTTGGCTTTTTTGCTATGAAAGGACCACATACTGTATAGGATTGCTTGAGGACTGAATGAGGCACACAATATGTGCGCGACAGGAAATGGCTGCTAGCATTACTGGTAGGAATCCCAGCTGGACACCTCTACTCCTGACTAGATAGAAGAGACTCCTGTCTCTGTTACCGTCTCATCATATCCTCCAGGGACGGGTCTGCTGCTGTTTTCTCAGAAACACCTCCTCAGCTCCCTAGTTCCAGGATGACCTAGAGTCCAGCCTGGCCTCTATCTCTACCGAGGGAGGGAGAAAAGGCATGAGAGACATCTCAGGGTCCCTGCTGGGTCCTGGGTCTCAGCTGCCTATTTAGCCCATTCTACCTGTATTTCTGCCCTGACAGCAGCTAGGGTCTTGCTTGACTATGCTCTACAGCACCCTTAGTCCCAGTAGCCTTACCAGGGCCATGCTGCTCTCTGCCCTTCTCAGCACCTGATCAGCAAGCTCCTTCTGGAGGACCACAAATGTGCACAGGATCTGGCCCAGCCATTGCGTGACTAGTTGGTTAAACTGTGGGAGCTCAGCCACTAGCAAGGAGTTGAGTGCCTGGTACGTGTGCCGGGCTGCTTCCTCCTCATAGGTCACACTGCCCACATCCAACAGTTTTTCTTCCACTCGCTCGAAGTCCAAGAGTTTGTCCAGACGCTTCTTGATCAAGTTCTGAGGGCCAGCCAGGGCTCTGGCCAGGCTGCACAGTGGTCCCCATACCAGGCCTTCCAGTCGCTGCTTCTGCAAGGAAAGGGAAGCGTGGGAGCTGGGATATAAGGTGGCAAAGGGCAGGGGCTAGGCGGGGCAGTGAAGGCAGGGAGCTGGGGTTCCAGGCCCCCTCCATTGACAAACTGTAACTTGTAGCATATCCTAATCTCCAGCTGCCTAAACTATGAATTGCAATCCATGTAGGGTTGTGACTGAACACGGGTGTTGAAAAAGATTTGGTGAAAGTTTTCTGAACAAGCAATGACCCAAAATTACTTCTGGAATATGTATTTATGTGAAGTGATGGTCTCAGCATTGATGATTATTAAATTGAAACGTTCAACAACTGTGAAACCATTTGAAGATGTTCTATGTCTAGAGATCTTATATCTGTATCAAATATTAGGCCAACATGTAACCCCTTATGTAAAAATAAACAGCACATCATCTGATCATTAGTGCACAGATTTGCTCTTACCTTTAATAAATAGTCAAACTATATGTATAGCAAGAATTGTTGTAAAACAAATTTCCTTATGATTTATTATCAGTAAATTTGTATACCTCTTATATATACCTATAGATCCAGGTCACATAGAAGTTCCTCAGGTAATGAGGTCAATGTGGAAAAACTTCAGAAGTCCTGCTCTAATCTCACCTAGTCTTGTCTTATGGTTTGATAATAAGGATGGTATGTAATGTACACAGAGTGCAGCCCAGGGAAGGTTATCAATCCCTGGCACTTCTTAGTGTTGTTATTACATAAAGAGCTTGAAACAGATTTGCGTAGAATGCTACTTTATGACTCAGACCCCATCTGTGTAAATGACCCAGAAGATGGCGCTCTCTAGGCCTCAAGCTCACATTAGCAGAATGGGGCTATTAATAGTCTCACCCCAAAGCATGTGTTGAGGGGTAAATGAGGTCAAGAATGGAAAAGGTGGGCACGGCGCCTGGTACAGGGTGCAGCTTGCTGCACATCAGTTGGGCTATTTTTATCAGTCTGTGCAGGAATAGCACTCCCTCCCCTACTGGCTACAACAATTGTATAAGTGCCTGACTTCTAAATATTACTCTCATCAGCTCCACCCCATTCCCATCAAAGTAGGGGGCAGGAGTTAGAAATCCCACTCACAAACTTCAGGAAGGCCTCGAGTTGAAGGTCCCTGGCTAGGCTGCAGTACTGTTCTGCAGGCTCCCCTGGGATGTCCAGAATCCATTCGTGTGGCCGGAAGCAAAGGAAAGCCTGGGGCCAAAAGAGATACGTGGTTAGGTCCCACCATGGCCATCTTACTTCTAACCCCCAATTCCCAAGCAGTTTTCCAGGCCCTCCACAGACAGCCTTATTACAAGCTAGCACTTACATCATTCTGTCCCTGGGAGATTAAAAGGGCATCTCTTCCCTCCTTTGACACCTGTGATCATCGCACCTATCTGTGTGCCCCCTGGGTGATTCTTTTGCCAGGTGTATGTCCTACAGATTCTATTCAAGTTTTTCTGTAAGCCAACGAACTACTCCTATTCAAATCAGTGCATTAAAAAAGAAAAGGCCGGGGTTGGAAAGATAGCTCTGTGGTTAAGAGCACCTGCTGTTCTTGCAATGGACCTGGGTTTAGTTCCCAGCATGGTGGCTCACAACCATCTGTAATTCTACTTCCAGGGGATCTTTAACCCTGACCCATGAGACCTCCAATGGGCTGAGAAGCTGCCTTTAGCCCCCAGTTTTGTGGCTATGGGTCATAGTGTGCTTGCCAGCCCTCCTGACTGACACCTCACCCCAGAGTCCCTGCAGTTGGTACTTCTGCATCTTGTGGGCCTGGCATTTGGATTCTGCATGCTTCTCACCTTCAGATTATCCATGTAAGCAGCCATGTTGCTCTTGAGCTCCGTCACACACAAAGACACCCACTGGAATCTCTCCTCTAGGTCATCAAATTCCTTGTCCTCAGTCTGTAAAGTCATCCATGTGAGGGTCAGAATATCCACACGGGGGCAGTATGCAACTGTATTCCATGCTTTGGGAAGTCACTGGGGACAACCTCTCCACAGAGAATGTGGAAAGGCAAGAGCTGGTCCGTCCAGCTCTGCAACTGGCATACTACAGTTAAAATGCAGCGTGAACTGCATGTGGTGGTGCATGCCTGTAAGCCCTAGGAGACTGAGGCAGGAGGATGGTGAGGTCAGCTGAATGAGGCCTTGTCTTAAAAGCAAACCGCAGTGTGATTGGGTAGTCTTTGCAATCAGTCTATGGAATTGGACACTGGGGTGTGAGTCCTGGCTCATTTGCTTCCTAGATGTGTGGCTGTGGGCAGACATTTCATCTCCTGGGGGCCTCTGCTTCTCTGTGGGAAATTGAAATAAGGATGCTTTTAGCCCTGCCGCTCAAATGCTATTGCTGTGGAAGAAGTACGCACACAGCCTAAGCAGCTACTAGGAACCGTTCAGACTGGCGCTCTGCCCAAGCTCATTGCCTAGCTCTCCTGGAAGGAAAGAGGCCCCCAACACTGGCTGTTGAGAATCAAATGGTGGGCCTCATCATGGTCCCTCACTCTCTGCTTCAGCTGCCTCGCTTCCTGAAGGTACCTCACCTTACTTCCATCCCTTCATCTTCCCCAACAGCACACTCACCCTGGGTACCAGCCCCGCCTCCTGCTTCAGCAGCTGGCTCAGTCTGGTGGTCTTCTTGGAAAGAGTATGTGTGTTGATGCGGGCCAACCGCTCCCGAAGGCTCAGCTGCTCCACCTTGGTATACTTTAAAGCTGCCATGACACCGAAGATAAGGGCATTGTGGGTGACTGAGGCTGACCCAGGAAGCAAACAACCCCACATTCTCCTGACTTGGCACTCTGCCCCACCAAGTTACATCTAGCAGATTGGTAAGTCCCACAAGGAAGCCCAGTACTTGGGTCCTCTTTGTCCCAGGTATGAGTCCTGGTTGAAGAGTGTTCTGCTTCCTGGACTTTAACAGGTAACCACTCCATGGCACCCTAGTTTCCTTTTCTGTAAATTGAGGACTCCTAGCTTGTAGGGTTGCTGGGAGGGTCACCTAAGATAGTAGGTGTAAAAGGACATTTTTCTAGTTCCCCTGCCAGTTTCATCAAGGCAAACCAAAACCATATTTCTGTCTCCCCACTCAGCACTTCTGCCCTCTCCACATGGATAAAGAGACAAGCATTCGAGAAAACCTGAAGACCCCAGGCCGAAGTCTGGAACTTAACTCTGTTTCTTACAGTCCAGTGACTACAAGCAAATTGTACACACTGTTTACCCAGCCCAGAAATGGGACTAACTGGGATGACCTCAGCCATTGCAAGGATCAAATAAGACATTGAAATAAAAAGGATAGCAGAATTAGCCTTTAAAAAATATATACTTGGTAGGGTGGTGGTGGTGCACACCTTTAATCCTAGCACTTGGGAGGCAAAGGCAGGCAGATCTCTCTGAGTTTGAGGCCAGTCTGGTCTACAGGGTGAGTTCCAGGACAGCCAGGGCTAAACCGAGAAACCCTGTCTTGAAAAAAACAAACAAACAAACAAACAAAAACAAACACTGAACTTTGTATATGTGCATGGAAGTATCACACTCTGCCCCACAGATATTTGTGAATTTGAGGTAATTGTTTTAAAAGGACACATGAGGGTTAGAGAGCTAGAGAGAAGAGCACTGGCTGTTCTTCAAAGGGCTTCAGTTTGGTTTCCAGCGCATGCACGGTGGCTCACAACCACCTGTACCTCTACTTCCAGAGGATCTGACACCTTCCTTGGGCAAGTATGTGAGCACAGACATACATGTAGGCAAAACACCCCCATACACCCACCATATAAAAATGAATACTTTTTAAAAAGTCAACATGAGCTAAATTTTCATTATCATGTTCTTAGTGGGCAACTGAGTTTCTTGACCCATGGTCACTGCTTCATTTTGCAAACCTTTCTACTGCAGCAACCTAAGAGATGAATTCATCCCACACTTTATACACACCATTTTACCTCCATCAGTGATGGGGATTAAACCCAGGGTCTTGCAGGGCGGTGGTTGCATACACCTTTGATCCCAGCACTTGGAAAGCAGAGGTAGGTGATCTCTGTGAGTTTGAGGCCAACTTGGTCTACAGCGCTAGTTCCGGGATAGCTAGGGCTGTTGCACAGAAAAACCCTGTCTTGGAAAACAAAAAAAACAAAAACAAAAACAAAAACAAAAAACCCCAGGGCCTTACACATATCAGACAAGAAGCACCCACACCAGGCCCACATCATTCTCATTCTAGATGAAGCGATCTCAGGATGAGTTTTGGAACTAAAAATGCTGCCCCAGCCGGGCGTTGGTGGCGCATGCCTTTAATCCCAGCACTCGGGAGGGAGCTAGTTCCAGGACAGCCTCCAAAGCCACAGAGAAACCCTGTCTTGAAAAAAGAAAGAAAGAAAGAAAGAAAGAAAGAAAGAAAGAAAGAAAGAAATGCTGCCCATATGCACCCCTAAACATAATCCTTACCCACTTCCTTGCGCATCTTGTACTCATTGATATTGCTGTTCACGTCCTGGAGGGCAGAGGTGGCTCTCTGAAGGACAGGGTGGGCAATGGCATCCATGGGTGTGTTCTCCAGGATTTTCTGCAGCAGCAGGGGGTACTTGGTAATCCTCTGCAGAGGGATTACAAGCAAGAAACTGAGACCTGAAGGTCCAGCTTGCGGCCTGAGGGAGAAGGTTGCTGTTAGGTAGGTAAAAACCATCTTTTAGGGTTCTAGGAGGCTTGGGGTGGTTGCCCAGCTCTGTCACTTAGCTCAGTGTGTGTTATCAGGTAGTCCACTGTCTCCCTGTGGTCCTTCCTGTAACTTACAGAGTCTAGATATTGGGCAGACAGAGCCATTTCTGGGCTTTGATTCCCAGTCTGTACAAAATCCAGTGCTCTATCAACTACATCCACCCTCTTAGGAGCAAACATGGCTGACCACACCCTCTTCCTTGGTGGGTGTAACTCAGCAGGACCCAGAGACCCTGTGTCCAGTGTCACCAGAGCATTCTGGAGACCCCTTTCATCTACATGCTTCCTTGGTGACTTCACGTGGTCTTATAGCTTTCAATACCCCAAGCCCTCATTTCCATCTCTGGTCCCAGGGCACCAGACTCACATGCTCAATCAAGTACCCTCAACTGTGACTTCCTATCTCTTCTCAGATAATGTCCCAAGAACAACTCCCAGAGGTTGCCCACTTGATATTTTACATAACAAAATAGGTTGTTGCCTTTAAACAGTTTGAGAGCCAGTGGGTGGCTCAGCAGGTAAAAGTGTTTATCTCCAAGTAGAGGGCCTGAGTTCAAGCTTCACAGCTCACATGGTGGAAGAGAGAAGTGATTCCCACCAATTGTCTTCTGGCCACCACATACATACATGTGCATTCACACACACACACACACACACACACACACACACACACAAAATAAGTGTAAGTAATAAGTAATAAGTGTAAAAATTTTAATCTAAAAATGCTTTGAAAAATCACAGGAATGTAATTTTTAGAGTATGTGTAGGAAAGTCACAACTTCACTTAAATAGTTTAGCATAAAAATACTGATATGTTAGCCGGGCCTTGGTGGCGCACACCTTTAATCACTCGGGAGGCAAAGGTAGGCAGATCTCTGTGAGTTGGAGGCCAGTCTGGTTTCCAGAGTGAGTGCCAGGATAGGCTCCAAAGCTACACAGAGAAACCCTGTCTCCAAAAACAAACAAACAACAACAATATAGATAGATAGATAGATAGATAGATAGATAGATAGATAGATAGATATAGATATAGATATGTTAACTGGGGGCGGGGGAGGCAGCCTGGAGCGATGGCTCAGAGGTTAAGAGCACTGGCTGCTCTTCCAGAGGTCCTGAGTTCAATTCCCAGCAACTACATAGTGGCTCACAACCATCCAAAGTGAGATCTGGTACCCTCTTGTGGCCTGCAGGGATACATGCAGGCAGAACACTGTATATAGAATAAATAAATCTTAAAAAAAAAAAAAAAAAGTTAACTCTTTCTCATTTAAGGTGGTAGGTGTGAGAATATTCATAGCATCACCTTCGTTTTTTGTGTAAATTTGGAATTTTTATTAGAAAATGTTTTTTAAAAAGCACTGTGGGTGGGGCTTTGACACTTAGGAGAACAACAGACTCTGACTGCTGGGTGTCTGAGATTTCATCAGAATTCCCCAGGTCAAGGGCAACGGGGGAGCGGCTTTCGCAGGCTCAGTGTGCCTCCTACAAGACTCACTAGTGCTCCTAGGGGCCAGCGACCAGTACCTCATAATGGAGCCCTCAACTCCCTCCTAAGGGAAAGTCTTCAGACCAAATGTTCTGGAAAGAAACTGCTCAGAGGCTAAGAATAGGCATGGCAGGTGGGAGCCCTGGGATGGCAGCGGGGGGACTGTGCCTGCACTGTCCATCTGCTCTCCCCATGGGTGTCCTGAGCGCAGATAACTGTGGGCAGGCATTTTGGAAACTCCATTCTAGGCTGACTGACATTCCATGGGAAAGAGCCAGCTGCCTCCCAGGGACAACTGCCACCATAGTACAAATCAGAGGCCAAGGGGCCCTGAAAGAGATGACTGAATTCTTCTTTTTAATATCATCAAGCAGTCAGTGCACTCTGGGGGAAGCCACTCACATCTGTAGCCTTCTTAAAGTAACATGGAAGAAAACTGTATGCAGTCTCTCGTATAGACGATAAGAATGGAAGTATAGCCTGGGAGGCTGGGGGAGTGTGATAAGAGAGGGCTTCTTACATTCTCTAGAGATTGTCACTGGCTGAGATCTTGGACAGTTGGGCAATTTTAGAAATACACAAATCCTTTGCTCTACCAACCCCAGCCTAGACAATATCTACCCACAGAAATCTTGGCTCAAGCAAACAAGGATAGAGGTCAGTTGTTCAGCAGCTCCATGATTTAAAAAAATTCCTTTGGAGAGATACCTTGCTCAATCTAGACACACGGTGTGGGGGTGGAGAGGTGCCTTGGTCTTGCCTCAAAGAGATGATGGAACAGACTTAGTAGATTTCCTAGGGGAGGCCTTACCCTCTCCGAGGAGCAGATGGGAGGAGAAGAGTGGAGGGAGCGGGAGGAGAAAAGGGAGGGGGTACTGGGATTGGAATGTAAAAATAAATTAATAAAAAAATTATTCTTTGAGAAGAAAAATCCATCAGGCAGGCGGTAGTGGCACACTCCTTTAGTCCCAGCACTCGAGAGGCAGAGACAGATGGATCTCTGTGAGTTCAAGGCCAACCTGGTCTACAGATTGAGTTCCAGGATAGTCTCCAAAAGGTATAGAGAAAACCTCTCTGAACAACAACAAAAACAAAAGTCCATCAATAAAAGAATGTGTGAGTAGAGTCTGTGAGTTGTCCTGGAAAGAACATGGAGAAATTATTCCCACTGTCGTGAGACAATATTCACAGCTACAATTAAACAAAAGTTCTAGAATAGTGTAAAAGGCTTTTTAAAAACACCACCACCTCCTGCCTGCTTCTGTATCCTTCTGTCTCTAACGACACAGAAGAAAACTGAACAGAGGACGGTAACCCTCAGCCAATGGAGAACGGACTTCATGGATTTGAGTATGATTTGAATGTTACTTTTATATTTAAAATAAATACAACTAGCTGATAAGGGAAAACAGAGGTTGTTTTCCTTCTGCAAACACTGCTGTGCCAGGCAGCCTCCTAAAACTTTGGCTTCCGGGGCTGATCCACCTCTGCCAAGCAAGCCTCCTTTCCCACACCAGTCTGTGCAAGGTACTCCCCAATACAGAGCTCCCTGCCTGGTCTGTGTTTCTGTCCTAAAGGGCAGGCTATCCTGACTGCTATTCCAGTTGAAGGTGAAGTCGTCATGGGGAATCTAGAGGGCTGTCCTACTTTTCTACTATTGCGGTAAAACACCACGACCAAGGCAACTTACATAACCAAAAAAAAAATTAATTTAGAGCTTACAGGTGTAGAGTAGAATCCGTGATGGTGGAACAATGGCATGGCAGCAGGAATAGCCTAGAGCTCACATCTTGATCCACAAGTTGGAAGCAAAGAGAGAGCTACCTGGGAATGGCAACGCCCTGCATACAGACCCATGCTACAGAGAGTAGCTTGGGGGTCTCACATGAACACGCAGAGCCTGAACAGGGCCTCAAACTGTACTATGAGTTCAAGAACCAAAATATTTCTGTGACTCTCAGACATTGCCAAGTCACATGACACAATACTGGGCTTTTTATACACTACCTTTGAGGCACCAGACTCAGGCGCCAAGCATTGGTGGCGCACACCTTTAATCCCAGCACTCAGGAGGCAGAGGCAGGCGGATCTCTGTGAGTTCGAGGCCAGCCTGGTCTCCAGAGCGAATACCAGGATAGGCTCCAAAGCTACACAGAGAACCCCTGTCTCGAACCCCGCCCCCGTGGGTGAACCACAACATTATCTTTAGTGCCTCATACACAGGGAAGTCAGGACTGCCCGCACTGTGGGTTGCTGTCCTTGGGTACACTCTCCCTCTGCTCCTTCATTTTCTTGTGTTTCTGAAGCAGAATAGCTTCAGGACTTTCTTTTCTGGCCTCCAAACTAATACTACACATAGAGCAAGCTAATTTTAGACTGCTTTCTCATAGCTTCTGGAGTCGTGGTGCCTGAATGCACACTGAAACCCTCATTACTAGAAAATGCTTTCCTCTTCTTCCTCCTTCATGTTATAGTTTTGTTATATTGACTTTTTCCAGTTTATATATATGTATATATAGATAGATAGATAGATATAGATATAGACATATATGGTTCATTTTCCAGGATTTATTGCAGGATAATAAATATACTTACTGATAAGACTGAGAACTGCAGTGTGACACAGTTCCTGCCTGACTGAGATGACTAGAATAGCTGGGACATATTTAGTGTCCCTTGTGCCATGTGTCTACGCACCACCAAGTGCTGTTAAGGCTCCCATCAGACCCATAAGGAAATTGGGTTTGAGATGTGAAATGGCTCTCACAAGAAGGGGCTGGGCCAGATCTGCCACCATGCAAGCCAGGCTCCAGACCTGCAGAAACAGGACAAATAGCTGCCTCGTTGTCATCCAGTAATTGCTTCTAGCAGGGCTGGAAAGAACTGAACACATGGGAAGTGTCCCACCTAAGTTTCTGCTGCTTTGGAAAAATGAGAGGTTCTGGCCAGAGAGGACTCACATTCCTATATGCAACATATGCAGATGGTTTGCCAAGGAAAATGGCTTCAAATGTTGCACTTCCTATGACTTTGAAGCCCCCTCAACCAATGCTGTCCTTTTCCCTAGTCCCTTCTGGACTGTGTATAAAACTGACCTGAATGGCCAAGAATAATCCAATGGTTTGCCCTCCTCCTTGAACTAGAGCCCTGTGACCATCAAATGAACAAAACAGCTACAAGAAGCACACAGGCCATGTGCCCAGACCTGAGCTGGCTCTGTGTCTCAGATACTTGGAGGAGTCCAGAAAAACCAGCAATGCTGCACTGGAGGGGGGGGGGGGGGGGGGGG